ATATACAGACTGCCGATGTTTCCTGCTTACCATTACATAACCCGCTTCCGCCGCATTTCCGGTTCCGATACACTTCCGCTTTGCTTCTGTCTTACTATTTCCTTCATCGTACACTTTCTATGATCCCGCCGATCCATTCTCCATCATTCTTACAATCATACATATGCTTTATGCTCATCCCGCTGCTTCCGCTTATGTTTATCATTGTCTTTCATTCCTTGTACTTCTTTTGGCTATTCTTGTCTTTTCTACTCTCAGATTATTACCTATTGCTACTCCGGTCCTTGAGTACCCTTTATATAGTTCTGTACCATGTCAAGTACAGTAGATTGGAAATATTGCTTAACCCTTGACTCGTGTGCCCTTGTGTGTTCCGGTTTCTCGCTTTATCTGTTTCTTTAACTCTGTTTCTTCACTCCATCGTTTTCACAACCTCTGCAATTTACTATCATCTATTTGGTTCCGCTCTGTTTGCGCCGCATCAGGTCAGCTACCGCTTGACCTTCCGCTTCCGCTCATATCGCTATCAAAGCCGCTTGCACTTAGTGGGTCCTACCCTTCGAGTCGGAAACTCATCTACTCTTAGGCTTACTCGCCAAGTTCATTCTATCGCCTGTACGGACCTGCCGTCCCTACATTAGTCCCTTGGACGATCCCGACACGAGTCTTACATCCCATAGGCACTTTGGAACCGTTCTACACTCACATCCTTTCACATCTCAAACCAACTTTCCCAGTTCGGCTGAACAACAGAAGTACGGAGCGTATCCGCACTTTGGTTTCCAGGTTTGTAACCCGCGCTCGAAGGATTCCGCCTAGATCCTTACATTATTTCCAATCTAACCCCCGACTACGGATTGTTGGGAGCGAGATAGGATACGTGAAAGGATGAGGAGTGTCATGGTTTACTATGACGATGAACCCATCGACAGTAGGTTGCTTCCGCAGTCCCGCCCGACTTCGCGGATTCCGCCATCACCAGCTACAACTATGGATTTATGGTTACAGGGCCCGCCACGCATCCCTTATGAGTCGAAACCTAGGAGGTTGATACCACCTGCTTTGGGTCTTGACAGCGCAGCAAACAATTCACAGAGTGTGCCCATGCACTCCGTCTATTCTGGTTCCATGGGTAATACACACGGAAACTCTTGGGAGACCTCGCCTCTTAGTGCTGGTAGGCTCCCAGGTACAGTCACTTCACTCCCTTCACCTCAGATGTCCGCCTTCAGCTTGGGGAATAGTCCTCCAATGATGTCATCACAATCCAAACCTGTTTTCAATCCCGACTTGGATGATGCCAAATACATCCAGCCACCTCAGGAAGCCGCCCGGGTGCCCATTCCATCCCGTTACATGTCGCATAATCCCGCTCAGCCATCCCCGGTACCCGCTGTACATTTTGAAGATGTTAAAGTAGGTATGGGGGGGAAACGGTATGCATCGACATCGGGACTCAATTCGGAACTCCAGGAACCCGCTTGGACGCCCATACCTGTCGCCTATGCATCAGGTAATGTCACCTGGACTCCGCAGGGTTCCGCTTCAAATTTGGGGAAGAATCAACTTGGTACAGAGGGGAGACGTGACTACTCAACCTACGGATATGACCCTGGACCTCCCGGATCCGCCAGAGCGTCTAATCCATCTTTTTATGTGCCGCATTATGTTGCGCAAACTCCGCAAGCATTTGCCGCAGGTTCAGGAAATAGTGAAGTGGGTATGGGGGAGGTACACAATGCATTTATTTCTGGACTCAACCCGTCACCTCAGGGACCCACTATGGGGCCAAAACCATTTGCTTATACATCGGGTAGCGTCGTAAGGCCTCCCCAGGAGCCCGCCGGAAGTATTAGGAATAGTGGTATTGGTACTAGGGGGATACAGGAACATTTTGCACCCGGATACAACCAGGGATCACAGGAATCCGCCAGAGCATCCAATCCAGCTCCTTATGTCCCGCATTATGTCGCGCAAACTCCCGAGGCTTTTGCTGCAGGTTCTGGAAATACTGAAGTGGGTATAGAGGAGATCCAGGATGCATTTACCTCTGGGTTCAACCCGGGACTTCAGAGACCCGCTGTGGGGCCCAAACAATTCGCTTATGCATCGGGTAACGTCGTAAGGCCTCCCCAGCAACCCACTGGTAGTATTGGGAATATTGGAACAGGTAGGGGGCAGGTACTGGTACACCCAGGGACGGAAATTTTTGCAACACCTCCGGGACTCGGCGGGAGCTCAATTCTACGTCCTTACACTTCGAACAACGTTCCTCAACCATCCCGACGACCCGCGTTGCGCTCAGAGGATAGTGGACCCACTAGGGGGCAAATACAGGCAGAACCAGAGACGGAAATGACCCGGGGACTTCAGACCGCCGCTAATATCTCCAGACGAGCCTATTCAGCTCCAAAGGACACCCGCACAAGCCGCATTGATTCCGCCTCACAGGTACCCACCAATCAACCCACTACTGCATCACCACCCACCCATCCCCCTACCCCATATCCAACTTCTTTGCCCAGGGAAACTCCGAATTTGTATCCGAATCAAATCAGACATACTACCCGACGTATTCGGCAACAGAACGCGTGCGGTGGCACTCCTGTAGGAGCTCCCAGGAGACCCAGCGGGATGGAAGGAGAACAAAATACTGGTTTGGCTATGGAAACTTCCGGGCCATTGACGGATGACTTAGGTGATGGAAACGGCTTCGGAAATGCAGGATCTCGACGCGACGGGTATCCCGACCCACCAGGACCATCCCATCCCCATCCAACTTTTGCACCACCACTTGGCCAACCTGGAGCGGCATATATATTCTACCCACCAAATGACTGGATTCCCTTTGCAATTCAGCAGCGGAACTTAATGGGAGGTAATTGGAACTCAATTAACACAGATACCTCAGCTGCAGATGACCGCCGATTCCGACTTTTATTGGAGTCAAAACTCGACACGGCGGAACCAGAGTACTTTACGGGGGAGTCTAAGGATGCTTGGCTGCCATGGATCTCATCCTTGAAAAGGATCTTCAAGGCAAAGCCAACAATCTACGAGGTTCCGCAGAGTCGTGTTGCATATGCTTGCTCCTTTTTACGAGGTAGCGCCAGTTCTCATTACGACAATCTGGTACAGATGGAGCAATCCCGAGGAGAGGATGTTTCAGCACTACACGAGTGGAATTCATTCATACAGGAGTTCCAGGTTCAGTTTGGAATATTTAATCCGACTATAGATGCTCAGTCACGGTTGGATGACATCCACCAGGAGGAGGGAGAAGATTTTGCAGCGTTTATAATTCGGTTTGAGGAACTTGCATTCCGAACTGAATATAATGAACCCGCACTGATCAATCGACTTCGGAAGGCGGTAGTACCATGGTTAGATCTTAATATTTCAGCGCAACCTGGCCGCCCTCAGACACTCTCGGAATGGACACGCCGCTACCAGGACTTGGATGCGGCATGGAATCAGCAGATTAGGAGTCGGATGAAGGTATCCAATGACTTGGAGCCACCCTTAGATTCCGAAAATGACTTCCAACTTGACTATGTCAATCCGCCGATATCAACAATGGATGATTTTGCTAACGGAGAACTTGATCTCACACCACAGGATGATGTGCAAATTTCCTGGGACCCGGGATAACACCCGCCGTTGAGTACTTCATCTATTTGTCTATTTTTTCTGTTCAACTTTTGGTTCCGACAAATTTTATCTTTTCCATTGGCGCCTGCCATCTATGTCCTTAAATGTTTTATTTATGTTTTCAACTACTTACATGCTGGGCCTAGCGTCTCCTTGCGGGCTCGGAGCTTGAAGGGGGGGTAATGTCATGCCCTAGGCATATACAGACTGCCGATGTTTCCTGCTTACCATTACATAACCCGCTTCCGCCGCATTTCCGGTTCCGATACACTTCCGCTTTGCTTCTGTCTTACTATTTCCTTCATCGTACACTTTCTATGATCCCGCCGATCCATTCTCCATCATTCTTACAATCATACATATGCTTTATGCTCATCCCGCTGCTTCCGCTTATGTTTATCATTGTCTTTCATCCCTTGTACTTCTTTTGGCTATTCTTGTCTTTTCTACTCTCAGATTATTACCTATTGCTACTCCGGTCCTTGAGTACCCTTTATATAGTTCTGTACCATGTCAAGTACAGTAGATTGGAAATATTGCTTAACCCCTTGACTCGTGTGCCCTTGTGTGTTCCGGTTTCTCGCTTTATCTGTTTCTTTAACTCTGTTTCTTCACTCCATCGTTTTCACAACCTCTGCAATTTACTATCATCTATTTGGTTCCGCTCTGTTTGCGCCGCATCAGGTCAGCTACCGCTTGACCTTCCGCTTCCGCTCATATCGCTATCAAAGCCGCTTGCACTTAGTGGGTCCTACCCTTCGAGTCGGAAACTCATCTACTCTTAGGCTTACTCGCCAAGTTCATTCTATCGCCTGTACGGACCTGCCGTCCCTACATTAGTCCCTTGGACGATCCCGACACGAGTCTTACATCCCATAGGCACTTTGGAACCGTTCTACACTCACATCCTTTCACATCTCAAACCAACTTTCCCAGTTCGGCTGAACAACAGAAGTACGGAGCGTATCCGCACTTTGGTTTCCAGGTTTGTAACCCGCGCTCGAAGGATTCCGCCTAGATCCTTACAGTTGTTCTCAAATCTCCTCGTCTCTGTTTTTTTCATACCTGAAGTTAACAGCGATGAGTCACGACAGGACAGCTTAACGGAAAGGAAATCTCCATGTTTAAGTAGTGTTCTCTGGAATCTGAGCTCTCATTGCATATATACAATTAAAGTTCTAGCTCCTGTGCACTCACCGAGTTCAAATCATCTCAAATCCCAAATCCACCATGTCCTCTTGCTTGTTCAAGCTAGAATTTTGATGCATTGTCTAGGTGCAGTCCTGTCCCATGAAACAATGGTGGGCACTTTTGCTTGATATTCAGTTGGAAACCTAACTATTACCTATACACCGTTGGTGAAGTGGTTATCATGCTTGCCTTCTGTTGTTTTCATTCCAACTTCATCCTGGACTCGTTTGAGCAAGGGGCTCGAGCCTCGGGTTCAATTCCCAAATGGTGTAATATATGAGACAAGGGGTGTGCGAAATTTTTTTATTATGTATATCCTATACTCTAAATAAAGGCTGTTTAGATGCTCAAAATAATTTACATCAGCAATTTCCACGCAGTGGCTGTTCCGGCAAGTGCAACTTTCAAAATGCATCCAATCAAAGTGCTGGCTTCCTTCCATCCTGGAGTCATCGCTGTGCACTAAATCATAAGTGCTCAAAATTATGTATTTTTACCCAAGCAAATCCAGCATAGCGGCAGAGTCAATGGCACTTTTCCCGCACTTTTCTAAGTTCTTCATGTGGGGTGCCCTCAACAAATATTCTTCCCTAAAAATTGCTGGACTCTGGAGTAAGTAGGCCCAATAACTGTCAAGCCATGTAATTGACGAGAGATTAATGCACTTAGCATGATGGATGTATTGTACATCTATGACCACTGAATGTGCTATGCATTAATTGAATCCAGATTGAGTCATACAGATTACCCTCAGGATGCATAGTACCTTTATGCTTGAGTCAGTGGTCCATTGGCCAAGCCCAAAAATCCCATGGCTGAAGTCCTGGAGCAAGTTGTTGATGACAAGCCAATGTTTGAGTAAGTATAGTCAACTCAGCAGCAGAGGATCTGGAAAAGCCAAAATGTTCAAGTTGGCAGTAGTAGTACCCATAATGCTGATCCTGATGTTGCCATGGGTCAATGCAAGAGTAAGGGGAAGGTGAAGGGTTTGGAAGGTTCAATGGGGGGGGAGGGAGAAATATCCTTATTAATTCAGTACCTAATACCTATTGATTTCTGTACCAAAATTGTGGGCTCCAATCTCAGTGTTTTTGAAAATAGGCCTGTTACAATGAGCGGTGGACCCACTGAGGGAAAACAATGATGACATATGAAAACAAGCAACTGAATTGGGTAATCTAATGTATGTACAACAGTACAACATATAGTTGAAACGACTGAACACCTACATACAGAGTATGTCCTAACAAGTTAGACAGTAGCACCAAAGCATGGGTGGTAGAGAAAGTGGATAAAATTAGATTAACCTTGAAATTATTCAAACTTTGTAGCTCTAAATGGTTAATCAAATACTGCATGTACTAGGGACACCTCCGTGACGTAGGCACGGGCCTCTTTAAGCTTGTATCACATTGTATTTTGGTCTTATATCAGCAAATTCCAAAGTCTATGATCCGTATAAGCTCATACATTTTATACGCGATCATACGCATCAGGACCCGTATGATTGATGGGGGGGCATGCGTAACTGGCATAGGCGATTATACAGTCTTTATTTCTAATCATACACGGCGCTGGTTTCTAACACCACAGCATTTATACCCTGGTTATACCATGTTTATAGAGATTTATTCGACAACAGAAACACTGGTATTATTGTATGTAGGCTAATAAGAGTTGAATAATGAAGATACTAGGTCATGCTGGCAAGGCCACAATGTCCACCATGCAATGCGATGACCTGGCAACAAGTTTGCAGTGGACAAGATAATACTGCGAACAATGAGCATTGGGAAAATTCAAAGAGCGTAAAACACACCTTAATCTGACAGCACAATCTGCTCATCCATTCCTTCTGAGCTCTCTCAATGGAGCTGGACAGTGCCGTTGGGCAGACTTTATGTTGGGAAATTTTGCGTGGAGGCATGCAGCAGTGTGTATTCCATGTTTTTTGTTATATTTTAGTACCTTATGAATTATCCCACCAGACTTGAATTCAACAAGAAGATGAAAACCGCGTGGCGCAAGGAGCAATGTTAGTCCCAGTAATCTTAGGTGCAGACAAGACCACAGTGTCTGTTGCCACAGATCATGTTGAGTACCACCCCCTGTATCTTTCAATTGGGAATGTAACAAATGCAGTACAACAAGCACACCGAAACACAGTAATTCCAATTGGATTTCTAGCCATTCCAAAATGCATGTATTTCCAAGTCTGTACATCTTTCATCTGGTTACTTATTACAGGCCTTCCAATAAATAATGACATTCGTGTGAAATTTTTTTTTTGTGTGAATTTTTGAAAATCCTAAAAAGGCGCTTCAGCGCTTGGCGCTCTCAGACTATCTTTCTCTCCATGGGCAATCGTCATATTCCCTCTGAACTGAAGGATATCGCACTCAAACTTTGGGAAATAGGCTGGGACCTCAGTGATATAACATACATCTTCCATGTCTCTCGTCGCAGCCTGTATCGCTGGCGCAACCTTCTAGATGCCTTTGGCTCTACTAAGCCACAACCTACTGCACTTCGTGGACGTCCTCGGGCTGTTGGTCTTGCAATAATGGAAGTTATACACGAAGTATTCCGGCAGAGCCCTGATACCTATCTGGAAGAACTACAGTGGTTTCTTGCAGCTCAACATGACTTTTACATCTCAATTTCAACTCTACACCTTACACTGGAACGTGTTGGCCTCACAAGATGCATGCTGAAGAGGATAGCTATTGAACGGGATGAAAGATTGAGAGCCGAATGGAGAGCGGGCATTCAAAATCCTGAAAACTTTTCTGGTACTGGTACGTTGTCGCTAATGATTGCCACAGTTTTGTCCTCACTAAAATTCATAGGATGCAAATTTGTCACTATTGATGAATCTAGCAAGGATGAACGTACACTTCAACGACGGTATGGACGAGGATTCAAACGCCAAGATATTATCCATCCCAATGTATTTGTGCGTGGCAAAAGATATACACTCATTGCAGGAATTTCAACGAAAGGATACATGGCTACACAAGTTATTCCTGGATCCTGTGATAGCTTTGAGTTTTTTGACTTCATCGTTGAGGATATTGTGAGTTGTATGGCGCATATCTTGCTTGATTGATGCTTACTTTCATCTAGCTGCCGCAGATGAACCGTTATCCAGACACACACAGTGTTTTAGTGATGGATAACTGCCGCATTCACCACAACGACATGTTGCTTGACATCTGTAACAAGCAAGGTATGATTCTTCTATTTGTATTTGATCTTTTTACCAAGTTCTTTCAAGGTGTTATGTTGTTGTATCTTCCACCGTACTCACCTGATCTCAATCCCATCGAGGAGTCATTCAGCACATGGAAGGCCTACTTGCGTCGCCATGGAGCTATGATTCGCAATCATGAAGATCCTATTCAAGTTCTGCTGGACTCTTGTGGCTGCGTTACTGAAGAAATGGCACGCGGGTGGTTTGCACATGTGGGTTATCTGTTTTAGCTACATGATCGAGAATCTGCACTATAACAACTGTAAAATAGTTGATAATGTATACAATGGGATTTGAACGTGATGCAAAGCTGGACAAACGAATAGCAACAACAAGTTTTCAGAAAACATCGTGATAGCAATCTCACAAGATGAGATAAATGCAAAGAAGACACAGAAAAGGGATATAGCGATAGTAACGTAACAGGAAATCAAGCCCACAAACCATTCCTGACATCACAAAGGAACCGCGCATGAGTATCAAGTATCTCCATTGACCCAATAACCGAAAAATTAGCCCCTTCCCAGTGACGTTCTTGAAGCTTCGTAACATGCGGCGAACCTGGTTTGTATCCCAAACGTTCGAGCTGAGATATCACGGTTGCAGACAGATTGTAACGAGCACCGAAATCATCAAGCAATACAGTGGGAATAGCAAGTTGTGCTGCAGGGGAAGAAGGAGCTGAATGCGGAATTGACACCGTTGGTGTGCACACCGCCACTGGCATAGGGAGAGGTGCAGTCGAAGGCAAAGCAAGTGCAGCTCCACGCATTTGAGCTTGCATCATGAACTGCATCTGGTGCATCTGCTGCTGACTCTGCATCGATTGAGCCATTATGAATTCCATGAAACCTGGTGCGGCTGATGGAATGGGAGCAACTGCAGGAACGGGAGCAGCTGAAGGAACAGGTATGGCTGATGTAACGTTCGAGGAATGGGAGACCAACGGTGGAAGTTTGCGTCGGTTGTAGTCGAAAAAAGCTGTGTTCGGAGGCTTGGTAATGCTCGCAAATCCTTGGCTCTGCATTTTCGAAGTCAATACAAGACAATGAAGTAAAAAAAAACGTACAATCTTCAATGCCCAATTCGCGATTGCAAGCGGATCAAGTTCCCAGTATCCACCACACGGCCCCTTGAACATACGCTTGTTGGGAAATAGATCCGGGTAATTGTCAATTTTGTACTTGTTTTTGAGTACCTCACAATGAGGACCTATAGTCGCATCGAATTTCTAGTTCACCAAGAGTAAGCAAGGGCCGAAAAACTTTATTTGTATGCCATGTACCATCTTTTGAGCCGCAATTGAGGTTGATACTGCTTCTGGCACAAGTTCCTCGTAATCAAAGTCATTCTTTGAGCTGCTTGCATGATTTCCGGTATCATCCTTCGTCTACAGTCAGTAAGGTATATGTGCATATAAGGTCAAAAAACTTACATTTTCATCGGGATCCAGTTTTCTTGGCAGAAGAGAAATCAGGTAGACATCACGTTTAGCAGCGGTTTTGCTAATAACTTCATCGACAAGAGCTTCGAAGCAAATTTGAGTGCCCATGGCAAGGATTGGAGCCGCTTGGGGTGTTTTGAATTTATACTGCAGTTTCTTTTCCCGAAGAAGATCAACACTACATCCCAGCGCTTTAGCAACGTTACTGAGGAGATTGTTGTACTGTCCATCTGACGCAAATTTGAACGGATCCTTCTGCACATAGTTTGCAATGTTGAACCTGGGATTTGGAGCTGCTTTTCTGGAACCGGAGCGCGTCGGTGGCGTATCCTTGGCCACAAGAACTGTAATACGATATGAAAAAGAGTCGTTCTCAGGTATGTGTGATTTTTTCGATTTTTTGCGGCGCGGTTGTTCTTCTTCATTGCTAGAGTCGGGTTCTGGATCATTGTGTGATTTCTCCTGGATCGTTGTAGTGGGCTTAGTTATTGGCTCAGATGTGACTGCTCACGCGTTCATGAGTTAGCATGAAGCAACAGAGACAATAAAACCACGTACCAGTACCCAGTGGATCA